TCTGGCATATGTGTTGTCCTCATACATGCCCATACACACAGATAAAATGTCTGAAATGTTACATACAGGGTGTAAAAGACCTTTCCTTTGCTAAAATATCCCACAGGTCCCTTTTCTCTCTCACACCTTGCTGTGCCTTCAGTGGTTTTTAGGGCTGGCCTCAGAGATGCAGCCACCCCTCTCTCCCAGCCAGGCTGCCAGAATGCTGAGGGACGTGGGCCCAGTGTTAGGTGGGGATGGAGGACAGAGAGTCCTTGCTCCTGTGGCCAGGTAAATATCCAGACCCATTGTCCAGGCAGAGTGCCAGGGATCATGCTATTGTCAAGCTTTGGGAACACTGACTGATTTTTAAATACATTTTTTTATTTTTTTTTTATTTCTGACAGTTTCTAAGTGTGCATCCGCTAGTAAAGTACTGCTGCTGCTGCAGCCTGTGGTTCTTAAGAGATTAAAAATGGGGCGCTTTCAAATTTCTATGAGATTTTCTTGACTGTGCTAGATTAACATTTAGAACTTAGGGGTCTTTTTCAGCCTAAAGAATGTTATGGTTCTATTAAAAGAAACTTGCAAGGTTTCATCTGGATTTCTTCATGTTCTCAAATTAATTGAAATTATTTCTGATCTGCTTTGTTCTGTTTCTTAAAGAGTCTGAAGCCCCTCTCAAGCAAAGGAAAATTAGTAGCAGGGCAGAGCTTAATCTCTATGTCTCATTTTGTAACTCCCATGGGAATTTCATGGGTCACCACCTCCTCCACACAGACACCATTACCTAAGCTTGATGTATTTCTTTAGCATATTTAATGTGATTTATATGAAAGGATATATTGCAGCCATCAACTATAAGGTTCAAGTTCAAAAATGTTTTAAGAGATGCAGAAAATTCACTAACCTGACTGTTCAACCCAGCTCCAAACACAAGCTGTGTTCTCATCTCTGCTTATATGGCCTTAAAGCACACTTTGAGTCAAAAAGTTTCATAAAACACACTTTTAAAGAAGCATTGGTAATGCTGGCACTTATCTTTGGCATTTTGAAGGAGAGCTTAATACCTGCATCTGCCCTGTAGATAAAGGCACCCTTAACAAGCTCCTATAAGCTTTCCTAACTGAAGAGGAAAACGCGCCCCGGTTGCTTGCAGTAGATGTCCAGACTGGAGCTGGGTGGCTGCAGCCTGTGGGGCTCTGCTGTCCCTGCAAGGAGGCTGAGAGGAGCCTGAATGAACGACAACAAAGCAGATGAAAGGCTCAGTTTCAGCTGGACAAGCCCACAGTCATTAACTGGCTGCTCTGCCCAGCTGGTTTATGATTAATTCTGAGTGCCATCCGTGGGGGAGAAGCATCTGTGGTGGGTGTCAGCACAGCCCTGCCTGTCACAGGCTGGGCAAGCCACCAGCCCTGCTCTCAGGGTGAGACTTTGGGTAGCAGCTCATCTTCCCACCGGGGCTTGCTGGATCAATGTGGTCATAAATAGGAAGGGAAACACATGTTAAGTATCCTTTCCCTTTCTTGTCCTTTCCTCCTGGCGTTCAGCCTACAGCTTTGTGATTTTAGGAGGAAAGTCACTTTCATGGTTTATTTATGATTTTTTTTTCAGTGAAATCTTGTAAATCTGACCTGAATCCAGCAGAATATCTTTGATATTTCTGTTGCAGCTGTGAGGTTGGAGATTTCTCTAGGATCTGCCCTAGGAGGGCTCACAGACCTCATATGAGCCCCGCTCCAGGGGACTCAGCGTGGGTGAAGGTTTCTCTGCCTCTGTGTTGTACCAACTTGAGTAAGAGTTCCCAAATCCCAGCTATGGTCACAAGAAATCTGCAGCAGCAAAATGAAACATCACACCTTATCTAAAGTGTGTTCTTTCCTGAAGCTACCATTGGCAGTATATCCATAGATTTATAAAGTCACTTTCTGGAACTGGATTAACTCATAGCCTTAACCATAAAAATAAGCTGAGAATGTAAACATGTTCAATTTCAAATGTGATTATTTTAATTTTTATGTTCTTTGAAAACAACTGCCTCTTGGACAAGTCCTAAAACTATATTTTCATTTTGTCTTTTTTTCTTATTGAACATGTTCTTTGGCATTGGAGTTGCTGAAAGAGCAGCTTCCTACACGCATGCTCCGTGTGGGCAGGCTCTTCATATTTCACAGAAAACTATGGCAGTCCTATTCTTGGGCTGAGATTTTTTCCACTGATGGGGACTGGAGTATTCTGAAGCTGTGTTTAGCAAACAAAGCTAACCTGGAGCCTAAAAATACACATTGCATTTGCTAAGAGCCTGTGAGCTTGCCAAGGTAACCCTTCTGTGATATAAATCAAGGCAATACTGTAATAGTTGTACATATTGGACCCATTGCAGTTACTGACAGAACCCATACCAAAGAAATGTGGTGCTTACTGAAAGATCACATCACAGCAGTCCTACCTGCAGTCTCTTTGTGAATCATTGGGGTTTTTGCTCCTTCTGCTGCCCTATCACTTGTCATACCTGAGTGGGGAAAGTTTTTGGGTCTAAAATCGGTCTTTTCTTAAATATTTTCTTGAAAAATGCACCTTCCAGAGCAGGGCCAGGGTTACTGATGGAGCCCCTGAAATATTAACTACCCAAGTCATTACATAATTGATACCTGTCCTATATAGCAATATCTTTACTATTAATGGTATGTAATTACTTGGTATATAATAATAGTGTCTATTAGGATTTAGTATCTATCTATAGGAATAGCATCTATTAGTAATAGTGTCTAATAATATCTACAGTAATAGTATCTATTGCTATTACTGGTTGTTAGATTTTGCTTGTCTCCTCACTGAGATCAGTGCATGCTACCACTGTTCATACCAGCAAACCCAGAGTGGGCTTCAGCCTAACTTGTGTTACAGTAGCATAAAGACTGAAATGAGGGGCTTCTTTTTACCATCTCACTTAGGTATAGTGTTTTTCACAATAAAGCTGTTCCACAGATTTTCAGGCTTTTCTTCTAAAAAGGAGAATCAAAATTTTTATAACCCAGGACTGGAATTTTCTCTTGAGGATGTGATAAGTATCATATTAGAACCATAGGTGTACATATGTGTTTAATGTTATATTTGCAAAATATTTAAAGAACGGCATTTTTTTAAAGTGGCAGTACAACTGCAGTAATGTAAACCTTTTTTCTGCAGAAAAAGAATTGGCAGTAGAGATCTCTTAGCAACTAAGCCATATCAGGCTAGTTTTGATATTCTTATTCTTATTGAATGACAATAATCCTACTGAAATTTTAACTAAACCATGAAATGAAGTGATACTAAGAAAGATTATATTGGAATGTGGCCTAAAGTAAAGTAATAATCACAGTTTATGCCCTGTTAAATTACAAGCTGTCCATTACCTTAATACTGCACTATTTTGTCCCAATGAAGTATGTTCAAATTCAGTCCTGAAACACAGACAACAACAGAAGTTGTGTGTTAAAAATTGAAAAACTTGTTTACAGCTGCATAACAGTGACTGAATTCAGGTTAAGCCAATATAAAACTCAACTCTATCTTTGTATTTTATTACAAATAATTGCTGGAGATAGGTGACTCATACCTCTGTTACTTTTTAAAAGACATTGGCATTTTCAATACATATTTAAAGTTTGAATTGAAAAATATACCCATTTTAAAAAATAAATCTTCTGCCTTTCTCTTAAATTGAAGTTTTTGACTGAGTTTCAAACTTGTGAGGAAAAGTTGAGAAAGAGTCTTCATTATGGACCCTTCCAGAATTCAGCTGACTCAAAGATATCACAAATAGTATTTTAATAGAGAAAAAAACATCTGGATGGCATGAACTACCCCTGAATGCACCTGAATCCCACTCCTCTGGGCAGCTCTTTTCTGTGCTTCAGGACTGAGAAAGTGCCATCCCCATTAACAAGGCGTGGTGGAACTGAGGTAATACATTTTCTGAGGCATTTGAAAAACTAGAACTCTGTTCTTCCCTTACCTTGAGATGTGACTAATATCCAGCCTGCAATTGATTTGCACTCAAATCTAGCAATTTCATCAGGTTTGTCTTCCCAGAAACTTAATTTAGAGATTTTCTATTAATACCAGATACTTCACCATAGGCTTTTCTTCTTGGCTCCCTGCCACCCTTCAACTCACAGACACCCATTCCAGCTGCCACTAGCCAGAGGAAGAAACCAACAGGCATAAATAAATATTTGCTATCCTTGGAAAAACCTTTGGGAAGGTCCTCACTCTGATCAGAGATGTGTTTCCCAAGAAGTAAATAAGATTCAGAGGAAAAAAATACAGTGTATAAATGCACCATCTTAATATCCTTCTTTGTGAATTTTGGTCGCACCATATTTTGATGGAAGCTTACCTCTCAGACAACATTAAATACACTGCCAAACACAGCTGCGGTCCTGTCTTACCAGTCAGTTGGTGACAAAGCTGTCAGCTAAGTTTGGCTTGTGGGGTATTTATTCTTAGGGATGATGCACAAATCAGAAATGCAGCAACCTGCTTGCAGTTCCAGAGGAAATACAAGTCAATGTGTTGTGCGACAGCTTCTCACTTCCCACTTAGCACAAAAATGCCTAAAGTGATTCAGTTCACAGGGAAGGTGATGGCCAACAGCACTGAGTGCTTTCCTGGTGGCAGGTGGGCTGTAGCAGGGACCAGAAGATGCTATTTGTAACATCTTTGGCTTTTGGAACAGAGGATAGAGAAAACAATAAATGCTTGATTCATTTTCTGATGTGACCAATCTGGAATTTTCGAGATTCTGCCTGTGTCAGAGCCACATTTAGAGCTTAGAATTCTCCAAAGCCTTTGGCACAAAAAGAAACTTAGAGACTTTAGGGTTCACCAGGTTTCTTAAATCCCTGCTTGGATTACAGCCTTGTAATCAATGCCTACAGGATGTAGGACAGCTTTCTGTGAAATGGCAACTTCTCTTTTTCTGTAAGAAATGATTGTGCTGTTCAAGACCACAGATGAGTGTTTGTATTGAACAGATCTGCCTTGTTTGGAACAGAAGAAGCAGCACTGCAGAGCACGCTGCCTCCTTGGCCCTCCTCCACCGCCCCTGCTCCCACCACCGTCCTTCAGGCACAGCTGGAGCACTGTAAGTGTGGCTTTCACTTCTTTTACGTGAGCTTTAATGACAAAGAATGCAGCATCCTCTCGAGCGCTGCTTCATGGGGTCACTCAGCAAACCTGCCTGGCAGTGCTGATGTGGCTCTGTGAGAACAACCACACAGCATCCCAGACTGGGGCTTGAAATAAATGTCAAATGGATCAAGGAATGAAATGAGGCTGGATTTGTTCCTGCAGTTAATTCAATTAACTTTAAATATTTCCCTTACTCTGCATTGAAACCTTCTTAGAGTGAGGCAATCCTGAACCAGAGGAAATGGCAAAGCAGTAAACCAGTAAGGACAGAAAGGCAATTTTCCATCCTGCAAAGTGATTTCTGGGTGTTATGTCCTGCTCTGCATCACATTTGCGTTACCTAGTAGGTGAAATGAAGGTCCTGAAATCCTTCTGTGGAATCTACCCCCCACCATTTCATTTGAAGAAACACATATGTATTTGAGAGGCTGGTATCAGTTTTCACTCAACCACCTATGCACAAACCTGTGATAAATATCCATACACATATGCTGACAAAAGCATGTTCAGGATACAATGGGAATAAGACAGCAATTTGCCCAAATACTCTTACTGCAGGTTCTGCTGACTACAACATAGCCTCCATCCCAGCATAAAGATTTCTTCTATCTACTCAGCAATTTCTGTTCCTTAATTTTAATGTTCATTTACCATATGCAAACACTGCAATTATTGCTAGTGTTCTAAATAAATGATGATTAAATAGTAAATAATGTAAATAATTTAAATAATATCAACAATGTAAATAATAATGTAAATCAATAATAATGTAAATTATAAAAATAGTAAATAATGTAAATCATAACAATAGTAAATATTGATTAGTAAGATGTCAGGCAAGAGGTAACCCAAGAAAAAGTGTGGTGTAAAATCCTCCATTGCCTTTTGATTGATCAGGATTGAACTCAGGCTGATGTTCTCTCCAGGCCTTCCTCATTACCTCCCCTGCCTGTGCCTTGATTCCCACAGAAAGGAGAGCCAAAGACAGGATCTCTTTGGGAATGTTGTGTACTCCTTCAGTAAGGATGGGACTGGGCCCAGGGTCTCTGAGATTCCTTCAGGCAGCTTAGACAGTAATCTGAGCTAAAATCCCCCTTCACACCATCTCCCCATAAAAACATGATATGAAAATAAGCAGTTAGAAGCAGGGTGGGAGCCATGTGAATTAAACCATGAGCAGTTTGTTCTTTGGAGCCTGTAGTCAGAGCTTTACTGGAAAATGGCCTTTTCTCTAGGAAGCTGAAGATCAGTTGTTTCAGTCCAGTGTTTCTGGCTCAGTGTTCATCTGTATTTCCAGGGGAGATCACTTTTGCCACAGGACATAAATAAAGCATTTCATTCATGAAAGCTTAATGTTACAGCCAGAAGATCAGGCATTCATTGATCATGTAAGGCACTGGCTCTGGTCTGCAGTGAATGGATGCCTGTGGGTCAGTGTCTTCTGGAGCGAAGTTCACGCTGCCTGTGCCCTCCCTGGCTGAAGTCTCTATTTTTAGAGCAAAGATGCTATTCCTGGAGAGGAGCTGCTGCTGGCAAAATGGGACAGAGAGGGCAGGGTCAGGTCTAAGAATAGGCCAGGGTCCCACGCTGCCTCAGAGGGGCAGCCCGGCTGCAATGTGCCTCAGGGAGAGGAAGAGGAGGAAGAGGGGGAAGAGAAGGAAGCATAGGGCAGGAGGCTGTGCTGAAGTGCTAATGTTCAGACATCTATGAAGATAACCTCGTGACAAGCCCCAGACTTCTCCCAGAGGGAGCAAATAAACCCTTTTGAGGCTGAACTGTATGGTGGCTGGAATTTCATGCATTTCTCCAACAGGCTACATGTGGCTGCATGTTCACACATATGTTTGATGTTTCATAGAAGCTGGATATGGAAGAGCTGTGCCATGAGCTCCAGATAATACAGGCTTCCACTCTGCCTGAATTGCACTGCTCTGCAGGGCCTCCTGGCCCCCAGGTGAGTGAGGCATGTGTGATGAAACCACATCATTCTTTCACTTGTTCCAAAGTCCTTACAAAGCTGTGAAACACATGAAAATGCTTTTTACCACCCAATAAGCATGCCAAGCTCTGGCTAAAATTCATTTTGATATGACTTTGCATAAATCATGTAGGCTTTTGACCCTATGTTCTCATCCCTGCCTTACACACTTCATTCTGTTTAAAGTTCACCATTCATTTTTGTGGAGTTTTACAGCGGGTTGCACCCATCAAAAATCACAGATGTGTCATCACTTCCTTCACATGCTTCTTGTCAGTCTTGTCTTTGCTTTAGACTGTTCTCTTTTTTTTTTTTTTTTTTTTTTTTTTTTTTTTTTTTTTTGTGAGGATAAGAGCCTGTGGAGTGGATGCACAAGGCATAAAATGCGCTGGGACGTTAGCAGAGTACATCCCTGAGAAGGCAAACATCTACAGCAAAATCAGGGACAAGGAGGGGCTTAGCAGGGCACTGGGGTGGGAGTCAGGAGGTGCAGGGTCTCCTAGCTTGACCTGCAACATTTCTGCCTCTGACTTGCTGGATAACCTCAGACCAGTCTTTTTGACCTCACACCTCATTTTCTGCAATTTATTCTTTCAGAAACCTTCAGAGGAAGGTCAGAAATCTTAGAGTCACATAGCAGTTTGAGTTGGAAGGGACCTTTAAAGGTCAGCAAGCAGAACCTCCCTACAATGAACAGAGACAATACAACCATACCAGATTGCTCAGAACCCCATCCAACCTGGCCTTTTTCTTCTGAGGAAATGAGCTTCCTCAAGCCCCCTGGGTGCCAGTTTATTGCCATACAGCCCAGACACAGCTCAGGGCCTGTGCCCAGCAAAGCTGCGGCTAAAGCTTTGGCAGCCTGAAAAGGTAACAAGCACCCAAACACTACTTAAAAAGTATGGAAAATATATCAAAGTAAAGGTTCAGTTATGTGGCAAAAAGCTTAGCTTTAATTAGTTTTAAGTCAGAACTTCAGAAGATAATTGAAGAGTATAGAAGTTTCAAGGTGAAAGCCACAAAGTCTTTTTATAGAATCATAGAATGGTTTGGGTTGGAAGAGACCATCTAGTTCCAACTGCCCATGAACTTTGTATTTATTGTTTTGCCATTTTGTCTTTGCTGAGAGACAGGGTGAAGAAGATTAATTTAGTTCATGAGAATGGAAAAGTGTGGCCAGAAGTGATGCCTCGTGTTTGCCTAGCCGGTCTTGAGGAAAGTCTCCTCTGCCTTATGAATCAGCCCTGCAGTGTGATTGGCCATGATCCAGAGCTGCTGTTCATGTGAAAAATACACTTGTTATTTCAGTCTTTGCTAGACTGTCTTTTAAAAAAAAATCCTCTTGATAGTCTCTCTGACTTAAATTGCAAGAAAGTAATTTTAATTCTATTGTTCTACAAAGTCCATTGCTATAAATAATATTAATCTTGCTACCAAATGACCTATGATGCCTCCAAGAACATTTTTAAATAGAGCAGGCTGGCAGGTTTTATCATAACAGCAGACAGTAGGATGGGTATAACATGGCTTTGGAATTTTTAATTACAAACTACAGTACTGTGCCTTGTACAGGGACAATATTAGAACCAGCAGTCTTTTGGGAAATACTTTGTGACAATGGCTACCTGCAAAGAAATACTACCATTACAAAGACATCTAGTAATTACTTTGGAATTCTTCTGTAGCTTGCAGGGCTTTCAGATGAGTTGTAAAAGTTCATACGGTTGACTCATAGCTGAATTTTAATAAATTTTCATAAGAAGGAGAATTAGATTTGTAATGGTATAACTTTGAGTGTAATTCCTCCCATGTGTATCCTAAGGTAAAAAGAAATAAATAAGATTAAATTTGGTTCTAATTCTAAGAGGGTGCATTGATTTTCATTCCTGAAAACCTAACATAACTCTACTGACTAAAGTAGTTGGAGTAATTTGTGTCTGAGGATAAATTTTGCTCCTATTCATGTACAATTTGATCACATTTTGGACAGTATAAGACAGGCAGGATCCAAACCTGGAGTAAGTGATTTTCACAGTGAATCTGATGCTTCTCTGATGCAGGCTCATGGGATTATTTTCCTTAGTCATCTGAAAGTAAAAGATGATCTGCAAACCAAAGTCTTCTAGAAACAAATCTCTTTTCTGGTGTTTTTTTTCTGAGAAAAGTGTTCAAGGTCTCCCTGGAATAAGAAGTCTCCTGAAAATAGAATCAGCCTTGTTCGACAGAAAGAAATATTTTCAGAATTCAGAAGTGGTGTCAATCTTCCATGTCCCTGCCATCCTGAAGAGCCCATCCCAAATGTTTTATGCTACTTCCCTTACCACCCCTCGGGCTGACCTCTTTTTCCAGCTGACGTGGTGTCTCCATGGCCTGGCTGCTAATTGTTCAGGACTCTCATAACTTCTCATCTTTCATTTGCCCCAGACTTGTTTTTCTTGCAGGTTCTCCTCATTTATGAGTTTCTCCTGCCCTTCCCATTCCCACATCAGTCCAACTCTCCACCCTGCTGTTCAGCAGTGGCACAGACCTGGGGTTTGGAGCCACATTCAAACACAACACCCAACACCTCAAGTCCCAGGAGACACATACGGGGTCTAGGGCTGATGGAACACAAACACCTCACTAATGCAGTTTAATAATAGTGTTAATTAATAGTGTTAACAGTATTCATGTTCCTCCCTAGGGTCCACAAGGAATTCCTGGTATAATGGGACCAAAAGGGGAGAAAGTAAGTGTCTGTTGTCATGGAGTTTGATATGGTTTTGAGGAGCAAAGAATCAGGGGAGGATGTTCACTTTTTTCTTTGTCTGTTTAGTGAATGGTGGGCCTTATGAATGGAAGGTTTGGCTTTAATTTGAATGTAAAGCTATGAATTCACTTGGAGCTATAATTTCAAACTTAGTCTTTCTGTATTCATTTTCAGTCTTGAAGTATAATAGTCTTCCTTTGTGACCTATGTTTAAGGTGTGCTTTGAGAAAGCATCTCAGGTGCAAAACTCAGCAATTTTACTGACCCAAAGGCCTTTGAGCTCCCTGTCCCTCCTGGAGAACATCAGGAGCAGAGCTCTCCCATACAGTGTGAGTTGTATGGGAGAGCTTAGGCATTAAAGTTGGCCTATGTGTTAAGTTATGTTTTCAGATATGCAAAGATTTGTTCCATAATGATGCCAAAGAGCCTTACAGCTGCAGCTGAACAGCTAATTGTGTGATTGGTTGTACAAGGATTTGATTGTAGATTTAGGGCTGAGAACACAGGAAAGACCAAGGAACACTGATACAGTAATTCTTCTCATTTTACCTCTGTAAGCACAGTTTTGAACACAAAGATATTCACAGTGTTTTGTTTGGTGGTATTTGGTTTTTTAGGGGAGGGGATTGTGGGTTTGCATGTTTGTTTGTTTGTTTGTTTGTTTTAATATAAATGCATTGATGCATTGACTTAAGTGCCACTGTGCCTCATGTGGTGACTGCAAGACTGACAAATTCCTTTCTCTGGCAGGGGGAGATTGGCAGGCCTGGAAGAAAGGTATGAATAAAGGTGCTGTCTCAGAAACCCATCCAATATTTAATAGCAGCTGCCAGAGAGGGGTGCAGACAACAGTTCAATAAAATTTAGCTAATGTTGAAGTTTAGCCTGTTAGTGCTTCTCTCACTGGTACCCAGGTGGGATGGGCTCAACTTCACCATTTGAACAGGAGAACTGTCCTGGGAAATCTCTAAACTGCTACTTGCAGGAGGCTGGGGAGCTGTAGCAGTGCATGGACATCTCTGGCTGCAGGGCTGGAGAGCTGCCCCAGCTGGCTTGAATTTGACAAATTCCCTGAGTAAAAGCATGGAGAGAAGCCAAAGTGTGGGGCATTACCTGGAGTGTTTGTATGGACAATGGGAAGCAGATTATGGGAGTTATTATAAAGGATGTACCAAAAAACCCCAAAGCAAAATCAAACTTTTACTCATCCAAAGGCTCAGCCAGATACCCCTGAAGGAGGAACAACCATCAATGATTACCGTTCCAGAGCTCTGGCACCAATGCAATATGCTGACTACTATCCTGTGCTTGGGGACATACGAGCTGTGATATATTGTCAAAAATATGTGCCCCTACATGTGATGAAACAGAATATGTTATCTCAGTCACTTAGTACATCCATTTAATGTAATTAACTTTAAAGAAGAAAGAAATCCAGGATGAAATCAGAGATATGCAGGGGGTGGTCACTAACTAGGAAAAGAAGTACCCTTCTAATAATATACCATGGATTTTGACACCTTTCTAATAATATACCAAGGATTTTGACACCAGCTACCAATCAGTAATTCAAATAAATATAAAACATATAAACAGAAGAGGCAATTTTCTTAATCTATTTTCAAATGCCCTACAGTAAACAAAAATATTATTAATATAAATTCAAAGATTCAAAACAGCAATGTCTTTGAGAGGATGACACACCAACCTACAAAAAAAGTGCTAAACTTTAAACACAGTATATCAACACTTACTGTTCTCACAAATACAACTAGGTTCTGAAATAGAAGTCACTCAGGTTGGAAATAAAACCGTACAACTCTTGTTAAAAGCTGTCTGGCCCACAAGAGTTCACTCTTGGCCCTGAAAGTCATGATGACATTTCTGAGATCATATTGTCAAGCAGTGTAAAGCAGTGGAAGAGCCTTAATTTGCAGCGTTTTAGGAGATATTCAAAGAGTGACTTACAAGCAGCAATTAGATAAATAACTGCATGTACAGCTGCAGTTATTGGTAGTCATATAGTAGTTAATAAAGAGCAATTACAGCTAGCAGTGTAGGAATGTTCAGAATAAGGACCATAGTGACAGGAATAGTTAGTTAGAGAGTTGGTTCTCCTCTCAACATAAATTGGATTTGTATGGATATGAGTACACACAGGTCTTTTTATGCTCTGTCTGCAGCAGGGAGCTGTGCAGGAGTGGTGTTTTTATGAATCATTGTAGTTGGTGTTTTTATGAACCATTGTAATCAGTGTTTTCCGTTCAAGGGCAGACCAGGTCCCCCGGGCGTCCCTGGGATGCCAGGACCAGTAGGATGGCCTGGACCTGTGGGACAGAAGGTAAGGCTGAAATCCACGTGGAACAAACTGCTCAACATCACCATCTGAACAGAAGGGTTGTCTTGGGAAATCTCTAAACAGCTACTTGCAGGAAGCTGGGAAGCTGTAGCAGTGCAAGGACACTCTGTGCTTGTCCCCTTTCTTACCCTGCTCTGCAAAGTCTAGGGTTAGGTTGCTCCACCTTCAGTCCAGGCTCCCTGTAGCACTTCTTACAAGAATTAAAGGGAAATTGAAGATTATTACAATGAAGACTCACTGATGTCTCACAGTCACACAAATCAGTAAACTGCTTGCCATCATTATGACCGTTCTTTATGAGGATCCCTTTGCCTGAAGAGGTACTGTGAGCTCATGATCAGAGGGAAAATACCAGGCTGATATCAAGGGAAAGAGATGACAAACCATGACAACGATTAATCACATCTTTGAAGTCCATTCTCATACAAACAAATATTAATTCCTGTTATTTTTATTAATCAACAGCAGAAGAAATGACAGGGCGTGCTTTGCTACTGCAAAGTGGCTGTTTCACCTGTATTGGTTATAAAAAAACTTCAGGATAGTAAGCACTGGCTTATGCAAAAGGTATAATAGCTCTTCACAGGAGCCGTGGTTTGTGGAGCTTCTACAGGGACTTTTGAGACAACTTGCTTCTCTTCAATCCGGGATGCATTAGGCTAAAGGACTGCACACAATGCCTAGATTGAAACTGCTATTTCTGGTAAATCTTTCACTCTTCCTTTGCTCTATGAAGGTTGCTGCCCCCACCTCATAGAATGTGATGCATTAGCTCTTGATACTGCAAGAATAGTAAAAGCTGACTTGTGAATTTAAGCCACATCTGGGAAGCAGATTTTCAAGATCTTCCCAGCCATGTTAGATGAAGAACATCATATTATATTATGTGGGAATGTAGGCAAGCAGCAAGAGAGTATGTACTTAAAAGAAATCCATGTTCACTTTGAACTGTGAGATGGGAAATGGTTCCCCCCACAAACACATTGTGTGCTATGATTTCCCACAGCAGGAGCAGAGAGGGCAGAGAAAAGGTTCAATCAACTCCTTCCTTCATAGTCTTAGTGAAGGAAGAGAGGAAAGCAGAGAGAAAATTCATACACTCAATCTTCTTCTTGTATAGGTGTTAGTTTTATTTATGTGTCTTCCTAATTTTGATTAATATCCTTTGTCTCATTAGTCTTGATTAGTCAATTCTGTGCTTTTTCATCACATTCCTAGAAGCATCCCTCATATTCAGAAGTAATATTTTTTCCTACACTTTAACTGCAAGTCCTTCTTGCTGTTTGATGGTAATTCTTCTGCTTTTATTGTCTCTTCTGATACTGGTCTCCTCTGTTCTTTATGTAGGTTCATAGTTTCAATTTTTCTGGTCTTTATAAATTACATTTTCTTGCCTGTCAGTGAAGGCTCCAGTTGAATAAAGTACAGAAGATCTCTGTGGTCATTTCAGTTGGTCGTGTCTCTCTTTCCTTTCTCCCCATCTCTGATCTTCACCAACTTACAATATTCTTCCTCACCACAGATATTTACTGCATCTCCATCTTGCTGTTAATCTCCAGTAAGGTGCTGTTCTAGGTTTTTAAGCTCATATCCATATGTGGATATTTGCCGTTTCTTCAGATGGTTCTTCTTGTTTTCTCTTACTTTGACACAGCCTAACTTCAGTCCCTATTTCTCCTACTTTGTTCCTTCAAGTCTTGTGTGAACTGCTGCAGAGGCATCAGCCAATGGGAAAATCTTTTCAATTTCTGGGACAGTGAAGGCCAAAGGAGAGTAAGAACCAAATGTTCTGCTGGTAGCACTGCTGCATGTCTGGGGGTCCACTCTCTATTTCATGCTAGATATAATTTGTTGATGGCAGCCAGAAAAGTGTTTGTAAAATATTTTCATGATTTACTGGCTCCAAAAGACTGTTCAGCACATGGTGCCTAAGAACTACTGTAAAAGCAGTCACTCTGCCCCCACAAGCTGTGAGGCATGCAGAAAAAGGCCTTTCTTTTCTGCAGCTCAGTGAAGGTGATGCTGGGTACAGACAATGCATCTTCATGCAGAAAAGGATGCACTGCTGAAGGTGCTTTGCTTGCATGTCCTTTAATAACAGCTGGGAAAACTGAAGCAAAAGTTACCCACACAAGAAAATTCAAATAGAAGAGTAAGATAACATGTGAGTGCCCAGGCAGAATACAATTGCAATATAAACCCCTGTCCACAATGCTACACCAAGGTCAGGCTTAACTATTTGACATAAAACCTACCTGAACCACTGAACTGTCAGACATTCAATCATGACCTCATGGGAGAGCCTCATTCAATAACTCTCTTTATTGAACCCTTTAGGGTGAAAAGGGAGAGTTGGGTGTGATGGGATTGCCAGGTACAAGAGGACCAATGGGCTCCAAGGTTTGTTAACCAAACTGCATTTTCAGACATTGGTTTCTAACGCTCTGCTGACAGCTGCTTCCTTCATCAATTTTCTGGAAAGCATTTATCAAGATGTATGTGTCTAATACAGATAAAAAATATGTTCTACATCAAGCAAGGTTATGTTGTCTGTTTGGGCTTGGCTGTGTTTTTGGCTTTTCATAAAAATGCTTTGTTATAAATTTTTGTAATTTATTTTAAAAGCAAGCTCAGATATAATTGTATCCCACTGGAAAAATGGAGTTCTTAAGCATATCTGCAGCATTAAATCATGTCTGCAATGCTTTCCACCCAACCTCATAAGACTGAAAATTCATTTTGGTCCCCTATTAGAACTAGGCATATTACTGGCAGTTGGAATAAATGATGCAATTAGTTTATTCAAATAAAGGATTGGAAAGAAGAACTGAACACCTTTGTTTATTCCACATTTCTTCAAGAGAAACTCAGTTTTATGTTAATGATCACACTAGATTACTTAAGTATAACTTAAGTATGTTCCAGGGCAAAAAATTAACAAACAAGTAAAACAGAAGAGGAAGATTATTGTTAAAATTATTTCAGATTATTAATTGTATCTTCTAATGCTTTATTTACTCTCAGTTACAATTTATTTCACTTGTTTCAATTTCAAAGCACAATCAAAGCTGCTGGCTTTACCTGGCTTTTTCATAATGGCTTTTGGGCTGAGCTGTCTTGCCTTTAATTCATATTTCACAGTTCTGTTTCAGTGCAATTTTAGGAGCTGTAAATATTCATTTGCCTTTATGTGTTGATGCAATTAATTCTTTGTGCTTCGTTCTTTTTCTTCACTTCAAAGTTTGAAAGTCCGGCTTCTTGGGTGATCTTGAAAGCGAGAAGCATTAAAATATCTATCATTCCCTTTAGGGTTTTCCTGGAACTAGAGGAGAAAAGGTCAGTGTGACAACAGCATAATGTATAATTTAACATTTGGAAACACATTTTTTTAAAAAAATGCAACTGTAGAAAGGAGGTTGAATTTTGATGAAGTCTAAAAGTCCCACTGAGAAATGAAAACGCGTATTGAGAAGGAGCACAGTCTTGTGGCTTGGGCTGGGGTGCTGAAGAAGTGAATTTTACACCCTTTATCCTCATGAACAAGTTGCTACAGTGAAACTCACTGCAGGTTCCCCATCTGCAGCATGGGTAAAATAATCCTTAATTGTTGGTCTGGTTTAGTTAGGTGACACATGCTTTGGCATTGAGACACTTTGTACTCTAGGATTTTGCAGAGGGACCTGAACTGGGGAAAGAAGCCAATTAGGGGAAAAAAAAATTAAAGTATTATGTCCAGGAAAGCATAAATTTAAAGTAATTATCTGGGGAGAATGACTCCCTTTTCCTACAGTCCTTAGCATTAATTGTGTTATGATATCAGTAATGAAGCATATCTCTCATTCTGAAGATATTACTGTACTCTGTTGACTTCAATAATGCATTGTAAGGGAAAAAATATTTTTTGCTTCTTCATGAAATGGTAGTAATTGTTCTGTTGTTCTACTGTTATCTCTCTTCAGGGATCCAGAGGTGACAGAGGTGACAAAGGAGTCAAAGGAGACCCGGTAATTTTCTTTCCCAGATGGCTGTGAATGTGCATCTGAGGATCTGACAGGGAAAACCAGGAGGGGCATGGAGGAAAGGAGCCTGACAGCATATTCCAGGGAGGGCAGGAGTGGTGAGGGAGAGCAGTGTTCCATCAGCTGGGTGGGCAGCGGGCCAGCTCCATGGCCCTGAGCCCCCAGCCCGGGGCACAGGGGGTTAATGAGTCACAGGAGGGTTTCCCTGGAGTCACCCAGCCCCTCCTGGGCTGTGCAGCCCAGAACCACGGCGGCTCCCCAGAATGCTTTCGGCTGGTCATACGGTAACACCGGGAGGGGAAGAGGGGGAGAGATTCATGCCTGGGGGTTCCTTCGACTAAGAAAGGAAAAGTAGGAAATGCCATTCTCAAAGGCAGGCTTTGGGAGCTGTCCAGGTAGCAGAGCTGCCAGTAGACAAGAGAACAATCAGGATGATTTTGCTAGAGAAGCAGAAACTGGCAGCAGAGGATCAGACAGAGAAGTAATGGCACCATACAAGGAGCTTTATAGTAAAATTTTGTTTATAAATCTGCACCTACTGCATTACCTGCCGTGCTGAGTCAGTGCAGGGGTTTTTAACTGATACCCACACATGACAATTGGTTTTTTCCTTCCAAGGAAGGTGCTGCTTTGTCAAAGATCCCTACATATATTCTGATTATTTTTCTCCTTTGACTTTGTAGGGAGAAATAGGCTTCCCTGGAATGCTGGGACAAAAAGTAAGTAAGTGGGTGTGATATGCTGACAGTTGTGTTAAATGCTGAGAAAAGCTCAATGAGTGGATTCATGGACTTCTGGGATGGCATAAGACATTGAAGGTCTTGCTTGATTCAGAGACCAACATTGCCTGGACTCATCAATTTCTTTTTAGCTTAAGAAAAAACTCAGATTTATCTCTTTGGTGCTGTTTCTCTTCCTCTCCACCCCCCCCCCCCCCCCCGATTATTTCTTTAGTTATAATCTCACTCCTATTTAAATGCCCTAATTTCTAAAGTTTTATTCACTTGAAACTAGTAAATATTTCCTTCTTGATACTCTGAAATAAAATGGCATTACTGTATATAGCAGTGATAACCCTGACAAATTTTTAATTCATCATTATTCTGGACTTGAAAAACAATCAAAATTCAGGTGCTGGCTTATGGAAAACTTAAAGATGGATAATTTTAGTGCATAATCAAACCATGCCTCTGAAATAAGAAAAGGAATTAACAGTTGCTACTAGAGAGATGAGAAGATAAGTGAATTTACCTTCCTTTCCCTGAGTATTTTCATGACATGTGCATCTTAACAGCAAAGCAAGACATTGCAAAGGGGTCAGAGAGCTTTCCCAGCCTTGACCTCTCCAAGTCTCTAAGTGCATTCCTGATCTCATGTGGCATCTTCCTTAGGAAAGGTATTTTTCAGGGATATGTGGGTAAATTGTATGAGCTTCTTTTTACTTTATGTTTGTTTTAAACTATTTTATTATAATTTTGGATTTCTAAGAAAGAAACAGTGCCAGCATTATCTAGAGGAAATGTGTGAATGACAACCATGTGCATCTGCTGTCTTGCTCGAGGCAGGTATAACCATGTACTTAACTCCTTCTTCCTTCCCTCTGCACCCACCAAGGGAGAGATGGGCCCCAAGGGACAGTCTGGAGTACCAGGACACAGAGGACCTATAGGAAGACCTGGAAAACGAGGCAAACAAGTAGGATTACGGTGTTTCCTCTTCCTGTAACTCGTGGCCTCTGTGTGACTGTGTGGTCTAAGCTCGTGTACCATGCACTGTGCTGCACAGGGAGGGGAGAGAAGCCCTAGAACACCTCACAGGCAAAAAAACCCTCAGCTTTTGGGCTGGAGTCTTGTCTGCAGCACTCAGCTCCCTGCCCAGGCAGGATGGGAAAAGTTGTTTTTATCCTGGATTGGTAATGAACTCATTTAATACAATTTGAGCAGATCTTGAAGGCTTCCTTTGAGTCCTAAGCAACACAGGATTGTGGTCCCAGCCTCACCTGACAGCTAGAGAGCTCAAAATTATGCTAGCAGAGCTACATTGTCAGAGTTCCAACTGAATTGTAAAGGCTCAGAATTGTGTGTAAATTGGATACTGACTCCACCAATGCAGCATTTCAGTCGTAGGGGCTCAGCTGGAAGTGGTTTATTCTCAGTCTTGTTATACCCAGCATGGCAAGGACAGGCACATCCCTGCTTCACTGTTGCTCTGATGAGACCAGGTAATATCCGAAGTGACAAAGTAGCCACTGTGGGGAAAAAAGAAGAGCTAGGTGTTAGGGAGGAAGTAATAGATCCCCAAGTAAGGGAGGTATGAGCAATGTAAGTCTCCTAGATGACCCACAAGAAATGTTTTTCTGTCCTAGATTTGTCAGGTTTTAAAAGCTGTTGTGTGCTCTTTGCTGGTTTTGAGGGGTTTGCCTTTTTTATTTTAAACCCTGTTTATCTCTCCTGCCTGTATGCTGTGGAATGTCTTTCCACAGCATAAGACAAGAGAAGATGCAGTGCCTGCAGATCAGCTTGAACACCGGGGACTCCTTATTTGACCTTAGACATTTTGTCACCTTACACGATGGCTTAATAAAAAAGTGGTGACATAAGCATGTCATAATTTAAGACAACAATCAGTGTGACTAAAAGACCTATAGTCTGCCTCTAGATTGGTGTTTCCAGTCCCAAGGCTCAGTACACAAACCCCTTTCTGGTGCCCTGAGAGCAATCTTAGCATTCAGCATGAAAAAGTCTTTCCCTCTCTGTAACTGGTGAACTTATTTCCTTTCTTCTTTTTTAATCCTGTGAAAAAACCAGGGAGTGGCATTTTAAGGCTCTGTAGGTCTGGCTGCCACCTTTAAGCGCTGTAGTGGTCTGGATGTTTGTCCAGCTGAGGGGATAGTTTCCACCAGCATGGGGCCATTTCCTGTCTCTTGATCCAGCTGACATGCCTCGATAAAAGCAGCTAAATTAAGCAGGTGTCACTTCCACTTGCATTTCCAGATATGTCTTGATTAGCTCACTGACTTCTTCAAGTCTCCCTGCCTCTGGGACAGGCTCTTCCTGAATCGTGGCCAGGAGCTGGGAGTCACAAGTCACAGCCTTACACAGCTGACCGAGACACAGCACCCAAAGCTTTATAACTTGGGAACTGACCCCAGGCAAACCCCAGTTTAGGGTTTCAGCCTTGACAAGGAGGAATGACTTAGGGCTTTGGGTAATGTTAGTTTGGAAGAAAGGGCATGAGCACAAATATTGTCAATGGGAAAATCTTCTCCCAATGCCGTGGGCACGTGTGAAAGATAAACAAGGCAAAAACATTGAACATCAAGCCTTGCCATTATTATTTAATCCATCAGAGCTAAGCAGGAAGGCATTAAGCAATCTTCCCTCCAAGCAGGGGATGCAGAAAACAGCTTGTTTTCAGTCAGTACACATCCGACTGGCACTGCCTTGCCTCTGTCAAATTGCTGCTGTGTGGGGGAAGGAGATTTCCCACAGTCTTCTTTGGGGCTACAAAATCCTGGTCTGCTAGTTCTGTGTTGCATAATGTAAGAAGTAATTAGAGATCAGCATCACTGACATTCACATAAATCCTGAAATATTTTTATGGCTCAGAGCTTACCTAATAGGATTAAACAAAGCAAATATTCAATTAGTTCTTTATAGGTCATGGCAAAATCAGCCTTCCTCTGCTGAAATGGTGCAAGCGACATTCAAATGTATCCATAGGATGTAACATATCCTATAGCTACAATTATTTCAGCATATATTAATATATATGCTTTGCTACTCTTAAATTAGATATGCAATCATTCATTGTATGATTCTGAATGCACATTAACCTGGAATTACACCATCTTCAAAGAAATAATCTCCTTTGTCATTAAAAGAAATCTTACAGAGCGCACATCATTTTTATTATCCTAAATAATATTTGCTGCTGCATAAAAATCAAGTCAGATATTTAAACTTTAAGCTATGTAATACTTCTGAAATATAAAGCTGAGAAATCCAAGCCTTGGAGAGTATATGAGCAGGAAGATAAATATAGTTATTTTTAATAAGTGTCACCGTATTAAATTCAGGAGCAAAAAATGAGAAGGTGCCAAACAGTTCTAGGTTGAAACTTCCAAATGCCTGAGGGTATGGCTGCACAAACAAGCTCCCATGAGGCAAATTAGGGCTGATTTTTGAGAATATCAGCTATTGTGTGTGCAAGCCCCTCTCCCACAGGTAATTTTGCAGCATTTCCTACTGCTGCCAGAGGGACACCATTTCTCAGCATGAGGCTGATAAACACTGTAAAACCAAGCCCTGGCTTGGCTTGTGATGATTTGTTATCCTAGCCATACCCACAGTGAAAGTCGAGGAGATACAGGAATCCAGGCACCTCAAACATTCTGAAAATACTGTGAGTGTCAAAGTCATCAGTGAGCTTCTGAAAGGCTGCACCCTATGACTGGGAAATGTCACTGTGGAAGCCCTCGGCAACTCCTCAGTGATTTTCCCCTTTCTTTCTCAGTGGCACTCACTTCTAGAGAGTTACAGGGGTTAAACAGGCATTCCTAAAGAAAGGCTATCAAATGATTGAAGTCAGAGCAGGGTGATTGCTGACTCCTCCCAGGGCAAATCCCTGTCACCATTCCCATTTGGGAGCAGAAGTCCTGCCTGGGCATGCCCTTTTGTCTCCACGTAGGAGATAAGAACCCTTGTTCCCCAGGGTGGTGTCCATGAAGTTCATGTTTCTTCTGGCAAATATTTTGGCTTTCTTAAATGGGAAGCCAGCGCTGGCTTGTTACTAATGTTTGTTTGTTTTGTTTGTTGCTAATAGCTTAGCCAAGAAATGGGTGTCACTTCTCTTCCAGGGACTCAAGGGGGACATTGGACCCGCAGGTGTCATGGGCCCGCCTGGCAGGCCTGGCCCTGTTGGCCAGCCAGGCCCCCCTGGACCCTCAGGTCTAGGTAAGCCAAAAATGAGGTAAACCAAAAACACTCCCCGGGAGTGTCCCTGTTCCCCAGCCCCTCCTGACTCATCAGGCACCCACAGATCCCTCTGCACAAAGGCTTTGTTTGCTTCTCCATCCATGGCAAGGAGAGGATTTCTCCTGGAGGCAGGTCATGCCATCTTTGTCCATTATTTTAAAACCCACTTTATGGCTTCTGATGTTTCAGATAAAACCAAAACTAAGTCCTATGTGGTCCCTGAGGGATTTTTGTAGATGGGGACGACGAAAAGCCATCTGGCAGCCTTGGAGAGACTAGGTAATCTCCATCATCAAAGGTCTGCCTCTCCAGATATCCTGGCTTGCAATGAAAAACTGTGATTTCTAATCAGACAGGACAGGTTCACCCTGTGCAGCTTTGCAAGGGAAAAATAGATGAGATTCAAGTTACAGTGTCATTAAGGAAATAAGGGAAGAGAATGGAAAGAGATAGGAGTCAGGGGAAAAAGAGAGCAGTGGAGAAAATCTCTATATAATTAAATGCTTGAGATCTATGCTCACTGCAATTGTGCAAATGTAGAAATTATCAGAAAAAACTTGTAATAACATAATTGTACATCCCCAGAGCTGTGCATGCACATGAACCCTGGTCAGCTTCTGCATCCAAAATGGACAGGAAGGACAATACATGACCCACAACACACAATGTCCCCTTCCATTTTGCTTTCCCTTTTCCTTCCCTTGCTTGCATTAGTGGACAGGAGGTCTCTTCTTGTGGTGGTGTGGAAATGGGACATCTGTGAAGCTGAGCACAGCTCCAGAATCTTCACGTATCTCATGGCTCCCATTAAGAAGCATCTTTGCCCGAGTAAATTAGTTGGAAGCTTTCAGAAGGCAGAATTTTCACCGTGCTGATGGGAAGGCAGCCAGGACCTTGAGATTACTTTTTCAAGGCTTTATTCCATCCACAGAAAGTTTATGTGTCAGGGTTATTAATCTTTTTCCTCCAGAATATAAATTTTGATCCTAAAAGACATTTCTCTAATGATGCAACTGCTTGCAGTATGACCACATTGGCTCTTAATCTAAATCTGCAGAGCAGTGCATCCTTGCCAAAGTTTGAAAGTCAAAAAGCAGTATTTTTTTATTAATGTTTAATTGAAACATTAAAAAGCTCCTGTATTTTTAGTTGGGTTTTTGCTGTATAGAAACCTGTGAAACAGCATTGCTCAAGTGGTTATACAAAGGCCCAAGTCCAATCTGTTGTGGACTTATACAGAGACTGACTCTACAAAATTTGGTGTGTAGGCGCTGTAGAATGATTTGTGTGGTCATCCTCTCCTGAATTTCTGTAGCTTCAAACAGGCTGACATTTATTCTAAGCAAATGGTCTCTTTCTTCCTCTGTAAAACTGGTAGAAAAATTCAGAAGGTGATCTAAAATAATATGACTGTGGTAAAAAACTGGCATCTTTCTCCTGAACTATTGGAATTAGTGCCTCCCTTCAGTTCCCAGTGAAAGTGGTGGGAGCTGTGCCTGTCTGAAAACTTGGGTAAATGCACATATCCACCTGACCTGTACTTTTCCCCCTAAGGCTGTGTGTGTGTGGTGTGTAGTAACCTCACACCACAACAAATCAAGATGGTCCTCTGCTTCCTAGGGCAATTTGCAATAGGACCAAAGGGAGAAAGAGGACTGCCAGGGGCTCCAGGGAGATGTCTCTGCAGAACCCCACAGCAAATGAGTAACCCATCATACGAGCAATCTGTGTTTGGACACAGCTACCCCAAGGTTCCCGCGGTAAGCAGCTTTTCTGGGAGGGGATGTGAGCAGTTCTGAAGTGCTTTTTTTATGAGAGGTGTTGTACTCACTAATACTTTTTGTTTAATAGGAAGATATATAGGTAATGTGTGATTTCTGGTACCCAAAACCCCTGAAATCCAGAGGTGCAAAAAAATTCAGTCTTGTAACTTGTTGTGTAATTGATGCGCTGAAATGCAGCTGTTCCAAAACATCAGTAAGGTAGCATATATTTGGAAATGTTTTTCAAGCCTAGGAGTGCTCTCTTTCATCTACTACTGTACACATGTAATCTGTCCTTTTTATTTCATTAAATCAGAATGCATTTCAGATTGGTCAGTAAAGTAAGCATACCTTTCTGGTTTGTTTGGGGCTTTTTAAAGACAGTGATTTCTGAATTGAATTTTGGGATCAAGCATTTCACGTATGCAATAGAGCTTTCTCCCAGAGCACAGATCCTCAATAACAGGAGTTTCCACAAACTGTGAGAATCAGGTGTCTGGGCTCCAGTCTGCAGACATACACATTATATGGCTGATTTCCATCTCTAGCCTTGAAAGCATTTTTACGAGCAAACTGGACAAAATACTTTAAAGGACAAGGCATTGATGAAATGTGACCTAGTAATTTTTTATCACTGATTTCTTTGGGCTTTGTGGCTACTGTTTATGTCCTTCTCCTTCTGCTGGGCCCTGCCTCATTAATCTGTGCAGTGCAGCACTCAGTCAGTGATGAAGATGCTCCCTTGGGGCTGTGTGCCGGCACAGCTCAGCACTCCCCCCATGCAAGTGGAAATGGTGTGGTGTCTGCTTGTCCCTGCATGCCAATGAGCAGCAGTTGGCTTTGTCAAAGCCCCACCTGTCACAGTGTCAGAAAGCTGTCACGGTGGTGGAAGGGACACACTCACAGCACCGTTAAACGGGGTCATTGAGCTCAGACTTTTGCACAAGTGGGTTTCAGGTCTCGGCAGCTGTGCCAGCTGCTTGCTCATCCCTGGCTGTGCTGTATTAGAAAAAATCCTCCTGTTGTTTTGAAAACATAATGGCGAGAGATGAATGTGCTGAAATAAAGGTGCATATCACTCCATACAGTGCAAAAAAAACCCCATTGTGTACTTTGCAGCCTGGAGAACTCATAGGAAAAGCTTTAAGGCTCTCAATATAACGTAGAGGTCTCATTACCCTCCTTCGCCATCAGGCACAGTTTCCTATCTTAAAAGATAGGATCTTAAAAGATAGTAATGATAGTAATAGATCTTAAAAGATAGTAATGAGAGTGTAAACATGCAAAATACCATACACTATCACTATGAGCCCCCAGGTGCCATTTTGTTGCCAGGAATGAGAGAAGGCAAAAAGGCAAGGCTTAACTCTGGAAATGAAGCACTTCCAGAGCAGCATTACCTGTTTCCCTGCCCACCCCCTTTGTTTTACTCCCTTGAGAGTAAAAACACTTTAACTTAAACCAAAGCTTAAACATCACTATTGTTTATTCTGTCCAGATCCCATGTAGCAGCACTGATGCCTGTCTTAGGCCACTTGAAAGCTCTTGTCAGGATTCTATAGCTGCACATGGAAAAGACCCAGAGGTGGTGCTCTGTGCCCTGGGGTTTGCCAAAGCAGCACAACCTCAGTGCCACTACCCATGCACCCAGCAGCTCCTCCAGAGGAGGGCAGAAGCCGGGAAACAAAGTGCTGGTTTTCTGTCATTGGCTCAGATTCATTCAATTTGTTAAAATCTTGTGCAATTTTAAAGGCTGATATCTGTAATGGTTTGAGACAGCATAATTTTGTTATTGATTTCAAGAGAAATTGGAGCTCTGGGGATGAGCTCAAATTACAGAATCAGTTCTGTGCTGGCCTCCTATTTATTTGCTTCCTTTCATTCAAGCTGAAGGCATTTTTATTCAATGCTTCTTTAATGAAATTGGCCTTCTTCCAAGGTTATGGGAATGTTCTGCTATGTAAAAATTTCAAGGTAACTTGTTTTTTAAAGAGCCAATTCTGTTTATGTTGGTGTGAATAAGAGTCAGACCTAAAACTATTTTGCCCAGAAACACTCTATTTGCTTTTTCTTAATTTAAAAATGGCTTGAATCTTATAAAAATTAAATTGATTAAGCTGCTGAAGGAAGAGATTATTTTCTAATGCCTTTTACATCCAATTTCAGTGATTGAGACATTAAAGAAATGGGTAAGAGAGCAGCTTGTCCTAATTTTTCCATTTTGAACTTTTTTTTTTTTGCAGCGTAATTGGAGACTTGGTGTCAGACCACAGTATATGCATATAAAGAAACATGCGTTTTAGTGTCAATTAAATCTAAAGAAATAACAAAGAGGTAAAAGTTAAGTGAAGGTTGTATTAAGACATGCATTATTTATCTTGTAGCCACAAACATGCCTAAAAAGTTATAGTCAATCCACAAAAAGCACTTATGTCCATTTGGATTTTGCAATTGCTTCATCATCAAACCATTTGAGTATCATAAAGTTCTTCTCAGCTGTGATTGTGCGCTACTATTTGTATGATTTTTACCTGAGGATGTGCATTTCAAAATAGGGGCCCGGAAAAGACCATTCCATTGCTGTAGGTTCTCACCTCTTCTCTTTCTGAAAACAACTGAACCATTTTCCTGTATATTATTTACCTATTTGAAGATACATATGCCAAACTAGATTCTGTGATAATCCAAAGAACTTCTTGAGAAGGTTACCAATCGCCTCTTTTTCTGTGCCCCAGATTTTTGTGGTGAACAATCAAGAAGAATTGGATCGGTTAAACACCGAGAACGCGTTAGCATTTAGAAGAGATCAGAGATCTTTGTATTTCAAGGATACCTTTGGATGGCTCCCAGTCCAGGTAAAAATATGACTGTGGTTTCAGAAAACCCTTGAGTGTATATTCCATTTTGAAATACAGAACATACTTCTGTACTTAAGGTGTCATAGCAAATCAGTTAAGCAAATGGGGAAAAGCTCATTTTTGAACACTGCCACAACTGTACATAATTCTGTGAATTTTATTCACAGAAATCTTAATTACTGAGGAATTAACTCAGCAGTGTTGCAGGTTTTGCTAACCTTCCTCTGAACCACTGGTGAACAAACTGGACCAGAGTTCAGGGAATTGTGGTGGTAAAAAGAGTTTTTATTTAATACAAAATAAGGCAAAACTCACCAGGGTACAGAGTTGCAGAACTAAAACCCTGCAAACCAAATTCACATATTTCCTTATTGCTTCAAGGAGCTGAGTCCTGCTGAAATTAGCAACAGCATCCTTCTTGTGTCTGCTGGACTTTGGATCAGACTCTGTATAAACCCTCTGACCAACAAATAACAAGCCATAAAGCCTGGCCCCTAGAGCCCTTCTCCTCTGATTGCTAGCCAGGCTGCTGCTGGTGAGGTTCAGTAACCCCTGTGTGTTTGCCTGGCCAGCTCTCCCCTCTGTACCCCATGGATTACCGCCTGGAGGAGGGGGGCACCTGTGGAGATGGCGTCGTGCAGGATGGGGAGGAGTGCGACGACGGCAACGCGGTGGTGACCGATGACTGCATAAGTGAGTTACAGCACAGCAGGACAGGCTTCTTCCCACCAGGGAAGGTGCATTAGTTGTACCACAGGGTGCACTGCTTATGTCTGGGAGAGCTTGTGTGGTTTGTGGATCAAGGGCAGGCCTGGGGAAAGGGAGGCATGATGGCTACAGGGTGAAAACTGAGGTGTCCATGCATGTGGATGGCACACACCACACAGGACAGAAGTGACAACAGCACTTCTCTGCATCCTTGCTGAGTCAGAAACTCTGCATTTCGAGGGCCATGCAGGAGCTGGGTTACGCACACACCTTTCCTGGGGGCTGCCAGCTCTCTCTAAAAGCTGGGCAGCACACCTTTGCAGTGCAGCACAGCCCTTGGGTTAGACACTGTTTCTTATGATATAATAGGTCCTCAGTCCAGAAACACTACTTTGGATTTTGTTATTCACTTGCACAGTGGACGTGCCAGCCCACTACCTTCACTATCAGATTTACATAACATTCAATGCATGTTGTTCTGCTTCAGAGCAAATTTGGGAGAGAATCCCCAAAGGGGCTCCGGTAGGGAAATTCAATCCGACCCTCCCGTCAACCGGTCTGGGAGAAAATACCTCCTGGGAGAAAAGTGGAAAAAAACTGTTTATTAAGCAATAAAATCTAAACAATATTAACCAATAAAACCCCTTGCAGCTCCAAAAGAGATGACAAACTGAGAAAACCCCGTCCCCGGGTTGCAGGTCAGCTCACTCAGTCTCTGGTCAGTCCCTCTGGTGCTGGAAATGTCGTAGGCCAGGCCTGGCCCGGGTGGGCCACAGGTGTGAGCTGCCAGTGCTCTGCTGGGTGTTCAGGCCAGAGCAGTTTCAAGAGGTCCGAAGAAAAGGGATAAAAAACACAGTCCAGGAAACTTCTTTCCCTCAGCTAGCTAAAAACTAACTAAAGACAAAAAAAAGAGCTCCATCCCGCTGTCTGTCCGTCTGCAGACAACACAGTCAGGAGCAGGAATGTGGAGGAGGAGTGCAGTGTCTGATAACAAACTGCTGCTTATTCTCTCCCCCCTTCACTCTCTAGAACAAGGCTTAAAGGTGCAACACTTATTATTCGGCATGAACAGAACGAGACGATTGGAGATAAAAGCATCATATAGTCAACCCAGGACACATGTCTACTCCATCTTCCTTCCATTTTACTGATTGTGGATAGCAAAGAGCATATAAGAGCATACAAAGAGCATATAAGCATTTGAGCAGCTGTGGTAACCTTCACTTCCCCCTCTCTCGGTTAGTTTTACATCTTGAATCCTTCCCCAGAGCATAGCCCTACACCATCTCCACGTAGTAGGTTTGGTGCTCTGTTGTTCCCAGCAAAGGGATGCTTCTTCACACTTCACAACAGTATTACGCAACACTGAAAGATGCAATTTTTCATTTATATATGACTCACTGACTTTGAAAATGGGGTGTGTGCAACCATGCCCTGTGCAAGTTTCTCAATCCAGCTGTCCATCACCACCCTTCCCCTTACGACTTAGGAATCCCCACCAACTTCTCAATGACAACAGGAAAGAGATTTCAAAGGCAATTCCATCTCAACAGGTCTAGGGAGACACATAAATAAAAGCCCCTCTAAGTTTCTATGCTTGCCTGACTGCAGAGTACTCCAGAGAGACAGCAGACAACATCTCTCCTGTTTCCAGACATGAGGAAATGATTAAATTAGAACTTGCAATCAGACGTGGGGAACAACCATGTGGCAAGATAGTGTTCATTAGTTCCAGTGCCTGCAAAATTGTGCACTCTGTGTCTGAGGGCACATCATGTTCTCTGAGCTATGCACAGGGCAAAGCCTCAATGGAGGCCTTGCAGTACAGATTTCTGACACTGATGTGACCCATCCTTGAATTATTTGGAAATGAGCACACTGTCGTCGTCCTTCTCCTGTAACTGAACCAAAAGGAAAAGGCTAGATGAATGTTAAATAGATTTTATTGTAAAAAAGGCTTGTCGGTCTTAGAAGCATCAATTTCTGACAAACACGTCCTTGGTGCAATTAATTAATCATTTCTATTTGTAAATAACCCACTTTAGCCTCTTAAAAACTCCCTGCTCCTGTCTATTTAATCCTTTCTTGATACCAATGGATTCTCCCAGAAGATGTCAAAGGGATTTTAACTGAATTAATTTGTTCATATTAGAAAGTCATTCTCAATATGCTATAGATATCAAAATCAAAGTCCAATTGCTAAAATGGCAAACAAACCCACAAATTACTGCAGCCTACATGTCAGTCACCATGAAAAATTGTGACAAATCCCACTCACTCTCAAGTCAGTAAGAGTCAGCAGTGGGAAAGACACGATTTTGGCAACACTTATATATTTTATTTCTTTATAGACAGGCTGCAAAATTTCGTTCATATGTGGAAACTCACAGCAGACAAATACAGATATTGTACAGAATTGAATAAAGGTCTAAGTTGGGAATTCCAAACCAGTTAACCACCTAAGATTATTTTTTTGATATTGTGACTTCCCCAAATAATTTTATGTTAACTGTATTTTATGTTTCCCTTAAATTGTTTTGATGGTAATTATCTATGGCAATAATAAGTTTCAAATAAGTGCTGTTGTAATTACTGATTCTGTAGTAATTATTTTTAGCATTTATCCATTCTTTCCCTTCATCACAGAAATCAGCTGATAAAAGTACATTCTTTGTAGTGAAGAGTACTGCTCGTCCTAAGAGAGTCCTTACAGAATGCCTTCCTCAAAATATCTCACTTTATACTTAATCCTTAAAAAGCTAGTCCCAGTCACTTCACCTGTTTCTTTGACAGGTGCCTGGAAAGTGTTTATTTCTTTATTTTTCACTAGGATGCCGCCGTGCTTACTGCGGAGATGGCTACAAGCACGAGGGGGTTGAAGACTGTGATGGGATGGATTTTGGATACTTGACGTGTAGAACATACCTTCCTGGGTATGTAAGAGGAGGTCTTCACTTGGGTTTGGTGGGGTGTTTTTGGTTTGATTATGGAGGGTGGTTTTGTGCGTGCTTTTCCTTTCTTTTTTCTCCTTTCCAGCTTTAAAACAGGAGTTTCACCCACTTTAACCTTGTTCCACTGGGACCAAGTGGCAGGGAAGAAAGTGTCTGCAAATTATTTCTGTATATCATTGACTTTAAGGGCTAAATCTCATTTCACAGTAAGAAGTATGTGCCTATTACTGCACAAAACAAATGAAGGTCACACAGACCTATGTTTGCCCATTTCTTGCCAAAATTTCCTTATCTGGTCACATTAATGTCCAGCCATAACATAGGGATAGTAGGAAAGACCATGACAAGATAATCACACTGAAGGAAAAAAAAACCCACAATATCCAAACCACAGACTTGTACCAACCTCCTGCTGCCCTTCCCATTAATGGGTACTCTGGGGGTGTATTTGCTTTGAATCAAGCAGCTTTTCCAAAGTGCAAGAAATTCATTCACCAGCAGATGCAAAGCCATGCATCTGTGTAGCAAAGTCCTTCATTTAAAACATCTGCTTACTGTTGACTTGCCTTCTCTGCCTTTGTTTAGGCAGCTTCCTCTGGTTGGGGTTTTGCCTCCAACAGCAGCACCTCTATTTAGCTGTCAGGTATTGTTACTGGCTAACAGGAAACATTTAATTTGCAAATTAAATTATGTGCAGAGCCCTCATCATTCAGGGAACAATAATGTGCTAATTGACAGGAATAAGAAACCACAGGATGTCTTTGTAAATCTAGTGCTGTGCTAATCCTTCCACTGTAATTGTTGGAGCACTTTTGGTATAAGAGGTTACTAAAATTCAGGCCAGGCAACCTGACAAAACTGAAACATTTTGCAGAGACCTCATCTTCAGACAGTGTGGAGTTGCTCTCTATTGTGAAAACTCTTCCCTTCGAAGAGTCTGAAATTTGGTGCCCAACGTAGCACCACAAAAGCTTGAGGAAAACTTTATATATTTCACTTTGCTTGTATATTCAAGTTGTGAAAGAGCAACTGAGATTTTTTTTTTTTGTGGCAGTCTGCAAATTATCTGCCAAACTAAAGAAAAAGCTGTGAATCATGAGCAAGTGGGCTGAGTATGTGAGTATAACACTCCCATGGGAGTTTTACCCCGAAGTAACCTTTCCTCCAAGAGCTCTGCTGCAACTGATTTTCCCATTTTTTACTCTTTCCAGCCCACAGATCCCTCCTTCTGTTTCACACACCTTTTCCAGATTTGATGTTAGTCTGAGAATGTGGGCTATCCTAGGACGTAGTTTTAAAGCTGCATAACTTGACATTGTGGATGTGTTATTAACTTAGACATTGAGGCAATAAAAAACTCATTTTAATTCTTATTAACAGTTCTGGTCAGGTCTTAGTAAGTAGAGTCACTGCTCAGTTTAAGTCAGTAGAAAGAGAAAATCTCTGTTTCTCTTTATTTTGCAAGGACTCTTCAAATTACTCTTTTTATAGTTATTTCTAATGTGGGAATGTGTCACTCTCATTATTTCAAGTACATGGAAAAGAAGTTAAAGGACGGGCACAGTCATGCCTGCTGAAGCTATTGGGAGTAGCTGGAAAAACACTCAACTCAGAGCCTCAGATATTTTGTTCCGCAGCTCCTGTGGGTGAGCGCCAGGACTTTTGCATCCACCCCCATGAAATGCTCCAGTCCTGATGCCAACAGGAATTTTATTTTTTTAATTGACATTACTGGGAGTAAAGTCTTCACTCATAGTTTCTCCTGGACGCCTGTTTTGCTGACAGAGGAGAACACAGTCGAGCACTGATGAAAATTGCCCTCCTATTTAGTTTCCCATATGCTGCTGCATATGCATATTCCAAGGTTCTTCACTCCTACAGAGAGTTACAACCAGGAGCCATGTAAGTGAACCATACCGTGCTCTGAAACGGAGATATTCTCTTCTATTCCAGGTCTTACGGGAAACTGCGCTGCACTCCTTACTGCTACATTGACTCCACACAGTGTCGATACTTCACATGAGGGAGCAGAGGTGGGCAGCATCCCTCGCCTAGGGGTGCTAGGTGCTACACTATCACCTACCAAGAAGGACTGGGACACAAAAACCTCCCACCCACCTCTGAGAAAACAAGCAAAGACACATCATGCTGCTGATGGCCATTCTGAGATTTTTTTTTAAATATAGATTTGTCAGATAGGGAAAAATAGGACCACTGCATCCTGTCTTAATAGAGAAACTAATGTCAAGCTGTGTGTGCCAGTGAGACTTCCATGCAGCTGTGGATGGCTCTCCATCACAAAAGCAACATTAAACTACTGGAAGCTGAGTTTCATTAACCAGGAATGCCATGTAACAATTACCTCGACTTAGCACTGTTAAACCAAATATAATCTCTTCGGGGGTTTTGTCTTTAACCCTTCTCTGCATAAACACAAAGCATATCTTGGATGCGGTGTTTAGAGGAACTTTCATTACAATGTGAACTTAGCAAATGTTGCATCCACTAGAGATGACTTCAGCAACTCTTAAGGTTACCAATGCTCCTTCATTGGTCAAAGGAGTTGAAGTTCTTTCAGAATCAGCAAATCAGTCAAATAAGCTGGTTAACATCACCTTCAGGCCAAGGCGTTGTCTGTGTGTGTCTGTGCACTACAAGCAGTCACAAGAGACTGGCAAAACACACCACAAAAGGACAAACTGGACAAAAAAACTGTGAAATAGCCAAGAAGTTCTCTCCCAGGAGAAAATCAGACAAGGAGGGAAGATAATGAAGGAACATATTTCTGTATTTTTCTCCCCCGTGCTGAGCTGGCTGGGCTCTGCCTGACCCCAAGGGGCCGGGATAGCATCAGTTCCCTGCCCACGGCCATGTACACATTGCCTTCTCTCTGGTGTCCACACTGGAAGGTCTTGGCATTTGCAACCCCTTGTCCACCCAGCCATCACCACTCAATTCCCAGTTATCCCCTGTGCTCCCTCCCCCCTGTGCCACTGGTGGTTGTCCCAGTGTGTGCGCTCACTTTTGTATTGCCGTAAGTCAGACCGCAGAGTAGCACGTCCATGGATACTGTGCAATGTACACTTGGGTTTTTCTTTTTTGGGAAGGTCTCTCAACTATATCAGCTCTGGTTGGAGTCAGGGTAATTATATACTTATTTATTAGCAAGCAGTAAAGAGCCAATTTTACATGGAAAGCATATTAAATGTCATGTGACAAAGATTCTATAACAGAAAATGAAACCAAGAATGTGCAGAATTCAGGACTAAAAGCCTTAAAACTAGGCATTATTTTAATACAAGCCACTCTTTCCTGCTTTGTGGTAAATGTTGTACAGGACTGTGTGAAATGTGTGAGTTATCTGTGCCAGCGACAGCACTGCAACAGCTGCACTGACACTGGCACATCTGCAGAGCTTAAATAAAGGTGGATGTTGTGTTATAATGATGATGCATTACAGCAATTAAGAAACACATGCAACTTTTACCACCTGCCTAGAAGACTTTAACTATGCATGTATTAAGTGATATTGGAAATCACCAATCAGCAACAAAACAAGAAAGAAAATTTGTGTACTCTTTATGATTATCACTCACCTGGGCTATTTATGTTGCTATGAAGCCAAGTCACCAGCACCTGTAGCCCAGTTCAACAGTTTAATTTTTTTTTTTTCTTAACTGAGGTCTTAATAAAAGGTCCAGGAACCACTGGGACAAGAAAATTGCCACAAACTCTGGAAATCTGGGCACTAGTACAGTTGCCTTTTTAATTTCCTGTGCTAGAGCTAGCAGCAGGTTCCAGCAGCATCACACCATGAGGAGCAGGTTCTGGTTGTTGGGAGGCTCTCGAGGACAAACACACTCCCAGCAGCACATCCCTCTGGGTGAATCCCTGGCAGAATCTGCTGGTGTTGCCATCCTGGGATGGAGGCACTCCATCTGAACTGCTCACCTTCTCCAAGGAGTTAATCTCAATCCCCCAAAAGGCTGGAGTCTCTGAGAAGTTGGTCATTCCAGTGGCCTTTCGCCTTCAGTTTTCAGTGCGATCGTTTTTCATTAAAAGCTCCTACCTCCAAGGGACATTGAAATAACAAAGCTATGTGCATGGAAAATGTAAAGAGGAGATGTGGTCACCCAGGTAAAATACTGTGCTGCTTATGTTCAGAAAGAAGCTATCAGCCTGGTCAGTCTGGGAACACTTGCACAGCATGGATTTTAAATGGACAAAGCAATGTGAAATATAAGAAAACATAAAAAAGTTTCGTACTGCCATTACTGTCTTGCTCCCCTCAGAAGATAAAGCATGAGAAAGACATAAAGTATATATGATTTAAAATGCTGCAAAATAAATCCTTTGCCCTCATTACTGACATACCTAACTTATCATCAACTGGGTATTCTTCAGCTGGGTGATGCCTGGTCTGCTACAAATTGTCTTCCCTCCTTCTCTGAGTTTGGGAACTTAAAACATTGTGCCAAGACTGGTTCAAAAGTTAATTGGAACATTTCAGTTCATTGGACTTTTGTAGCAGCATACACTTTTGGGAGAGTTTTCTAATGATTAGTATGCAACTCTAGGCAAGTACAAAGCATTATGCCATGCACTGTATTAATGTATACCAAAAAATCTGGCTTGCACTTAATATGTGATTAAATATATGTAATTGCCTACTGCATATATTAGCAGCTCATGTCAATAAATCATGCTACCTTAGTTCCCCTATGTCCTTACTTTCACTTATTTAATTTTGGGTTTAACAGCATAGTTTTAAAATATAATTACCTAGTTTAAGATGCTGAGGAGGGAAAAAACACCTCTTTTCCCCTGCCTGCTGCCTCTCCCTGCCTGCCGTGGGATCTGGTTCTGTGTGGGCACAGTGACAGTGCATCCAGTACTGTGACAGTGGGCACAGCCTGGGAGTGTGACTGTGCATCCCTGCTCCTGGGCTTGCCACTGCCTCATGCCCAGACTGACCCCTGCAACGCTCCATGGCCAGAACAGCTCCACTGCCACTGATTTCTGATTGGAATCTGTAATGTTTAATAAGGCTTTGGGCTGTGTTTTGGGGGATTATCTGCTCCTGCTACCTGATAATGTATTTACTGGCTGCTTTGTAACTCTCTATCAGAGGCTGAACTGTGAAACAAAAAGCAGCAGCCTCAGGTGCTAATGGACAATGGGAATGGTGCTGTTGGCACCCGGGATTTGGGCATTCCTGGAAACTGGCACCCAGGCTTGGGAAAGAGGGTCCTGCCTTGCAGCCTGGGAGTCTGTGGTCCCAAGGCTTTTGTGTATAACAGGGAGTTCCAGAGAAGGGCAGTCCTTGCTGTCCCCAGGGGAAAGGAAGTGTATGGACAGATAGAGAGTAAGTGAGTCTACTTTCTGCCTGTTCTTTCTAAAAACTCAGCTTCTGCGACACTCATCTCTTTGGCACCCAAATGCCCACGTCATTTGTCATTTCTCCCTTCCCTTCAAATTGCTCAAAATCATAGCTGTCAAGTCTGTCCTTGTCCATAAATCTGGCCATGTACCTCATCTCCTTCTTTTGTTCTTTCTTCTTATTTCCTCTAGAGACACCTAAGTTCATATCCTTTGTAGCCTCCTGAAAATTCTGCAATGGCCTTGCTGCTCTGCTGGGTTTCACCAGCTTCTCTTTCAGTCTCTCACACCGTCCCTTTTCCAACATCTTCTGCTTGTGACAGCCCTGCCATATGTCACAGCAAAACCCCTTGGTCATGGTCCTTACCTTCTAAAAATTGTAGGATGCATTTCCCACTTCAGCCCCACCCATTTGTACAAGGAGAGAGGGGGGTGGTGCTTATCCTTAAACTGCAGGTCTCCAAGAACTGTGCTTGAGCACCAGCTGTTTATGAGGAAGAACAGTAATAAGTCCTCAGTTAGCTGCACTGGGGACAATTCAATACACTTGGCTGCCACACACAATCAGGAGATGTATTTTAAAAAGATGACCAAAATAAACCCAAGAGAAGGAAATCGGTGCTGTGCTGTGGTTCTTTGCTGATATTTAAGTCTATCACGCACAATGCTGCAAAGAGATGTTTAAAGAGCTGTTGGAAAATTGACATTTTAATTCACAAAAGGTGAAGCAATGAGAGCACTTTCTAAAAGACTTTCAAGTTCTTTCTCTGGCAGCTTTTGCCTAAGGAGATGGAAATGGTAAAGCAAGGGTCCCTTCCCAGGAAACCATTCCCTTGCAAGGAAAGCAGAGAATAATGGGTTATTGAACTCTGCTACAGACAGCACGAGGTACTGGCAAAGGGACAGACAACAGGTGAATGCAAAATTTAGATGAGGAATTTGGATCAGAGTAACTGATGCTTATTAATCTGCTAAGAGACCATATAACTTGTAGACCATTAGAGAACTGTCAGGCCTTAACCCAAGAGAGAAAAGGAACAAAGCCTATGCAAATGAGCCATTTGTGTCTTTAATGAACATAGTCAGTGAAAAACCCCCACAAAATTAATATGTCCAGTTACATGCCCAGCAGTGTGCTCTATGCAGAAAGCTGGTGTCACTCCAGGGCCAAAAAGACCAGAGCAAAGCCTGGGCACATGCTTTCATTGCATCAGTAATTACTTAGGGGCACTTAGGAGGATGGCCCTGAACCAGCCCAGCCAGGGAAGGCTGCATTTGAAAGGATGGCCAGGCCAAATTATATTAGAGGAGTGTACTCCTGATGGAAATTACATTAGTGGCTACTTCCCTCTCTCCATCCCTGGAAATATCTTGGCACTTAAAAGGCACTGAGTTATAGCCCTGGCCTTTTACAGCTTTTAATTCACTCTGACATTTTCCCTGAGCATCTGAGGGAGGGTGCAGTTTGGATACATAATCCTCTCCAGTGGCAGAGAAGAGGGTTTAAGCAGACATATTTTGCTGCACCCTTCCCACACACTACTGAGCAAGCAGCCCTCCTGCATGGAGGGCTGCCCAGGATTTTCTTTGGAAAGGAGTGGGAAGGAGAATGATGGAGCTGAGCCCCTCAAAGTCACTGACAGCAAAGGCAAGGGATGCAGCAGGGTATTGCAGGGAGCAGGAGCCACCCTGGCCAGTGTGGCTGGGCTGGGAAGGGGCCTCTTGCTGCCACACGTGCTCCAGAGCATCTCCTGCTCTCCAGGAAAAGCTGCCTGCAGTGCTGTCCCCAGGGCTGATGCTGCTGGTGGTATCTCCTGCAGGACACAGGCAAGCACAAAGCACTCCCTGAGCTGTTCTGCAGGTGCAGCTGGGAGCCTGCCTGGCTGGTCTGTGATAACACAGACAGACATTCAAAAGAACAGGAATCTGAGTAAATGGCACAATAAATCAGCAGGGAGGAAGAGGAGGTAACATTAACCTACTCACACAGCAGCATGTTTAGTATATTTAGCAACTTGGCAACTGATCACCCTCTCTTAGCCGGTCTAAAGTGTCCATTCAAAGAGGGAATAAACTGACATCAGCATTAAATTCAAGCCCACGGCAAGGTGTCTTTGACCTGTGTGCCAGGTGTGGAGGAAGTTTCAGAATTCATCTTGAAGAGCAGTCAGAGTCCTGTCAGGGTCTGTAGCATCCTCTGTAGGGTAAACAGGGGGGTGAGAGTTGATGGTTATTCACTGTCACCCTCCTGGGAGGAAGAGACACGCAGTGGGATTTCCCAGTGAGCCACCTCAGAGTGCTGACTTACACCATGGAAATGCAGGCATGTAACACTTACTTTCTTCTGCCCTCCTAACCAGAACACCCTCATTTTAATGGAGCAAGGAGAGAACTGCTTGAGAACCCCATCTGTTCCCTAAACCCTTTGTGGGATCCCAGAAACTCTTTAGTGACTAATTTTGTTTGGAAGAGAAGAGCTACCATTGCTCCCTACCTTTCTCATTTCAATCAGCCCCATGGAACTGATCATGCACAAACTGGGAGAGGCTGTGCTGAGCCAGTCAGACATTTGGGGCAGGTTATATTTGGTGCTTCCTATGCCTTCCTCTCTGAGGTTATTTGATGGACAAATGGGGATATAGAGGAGCCTGGCAACCCTGATGCTTCCCAGCAATGTAAATTTATTTTACACATTTCCGCTGGCTTTGACATTTTACCTGCCTGGCACTATTACTGCTCTGAGGACAGGATGTACCAGGGAAGAGAGCATTGAGCACTACTCAGGTTTTGAGTTGTTAGCAGATTTAAAGGGGAGGATGACTGATGAGAGGTGGGAAACAGAACAGTTCAGGCAACTGAACTGTACAGAACTGGCTGGCTGAAATGTCTGTATTGTGGGCCAGGATCTACAGGGGTGTTGTGAAATCCAATGAAATGCTGGGTGTAAACTGTGGTGCCCCAGTAGGTTCAGATAAACCATCATAAACCACGTGGTGGCTGTAGTGACAAGTTCCTGGTTTGTGTCATTTGAGCAGAGGTTGGTTGTCAAGCCCAGCAGAGCCCCAGAGCAGAAGCATGGGACCAGTGGGAAAAGCTGGCAATCCTGCTGGTCTTGGTAGGTGCAGGGAAGGGCAGAGAGGCTCGCTCTGTGCCAGGACTTTCTGAGCACGACAATATCTGGTGTGAAAGGCTGCAGGATTACAGCTTCTAAATACAGCTCTGAGAGCTGTACCTGTTGCTGCCTGGGGTCAGCAAGCTCTGCCTTATGCTGCCTGAGACTGAGCTGCTATGCTAACTTCAAGATGTCAAATGTTTGTCCTCTGCTCCACACTATCCCATTATTTGATGAGCAATTGTGTCCTGTAGTTTTGTCAGGGAGTAACCATGTGGTAGGGATGATTAAACTGCCTATGGAATAAATAGCTTGACATCAGAGAGTTTGAACTGGATACTGGCAAAGAAGAAGAGAGCCCTAAGGACATGCAAATAATGCATTCATTCCTCCTGCATTCAGCAGTCCCTGTCAGGCCATTTGCAAGGGAACTCCCCTGCTCTCTCTGCCAGTATTCCCTGTATTCTGCAGCCCTGAGGATGCTGGGGCTCCAGTTGCAGGGTACAGAGAGCTAAATCTTCCTGCCAAAGCCCCAAAAGGCCGTGGGGGTTTCTGCAGCACGGTGGGGTGATGCTCTTTGTTTGCAACACTCACATCCATGTTTCCCAGCAGGGTGTCTGCTTGGTGAGCACATCTTTATGTGAAGGCTGACTTCTTAATTTCTGCTGTAACCACGGCAGATGAATTGCATCAGAGTTTGGGAGTGGAAGGAGCTCCCCCACACCCTCAACACCTGTGGCTCAGCTGGGGCTGAGGGACACAGCTATCAGCTGTAATTTACCAATATGTGGTTATATATGTCCTACATTTATTTAGGGTTATTAACAGAGCTTTCCAGGCCCTGCCTTGGTTCCACCATACTTGGAAGCCCATAAGAAATTTCTTTAAGGCAAGATTCCCTCTCTCCCTATTTTTTTTCTCTTTCTGTTTTAATAAAAAGGTGATAACAAATAGCTATTTTTGAAAAGTTCCATTGGTGTAGGAATATCCTGGTTTTATGTGTTCTTAGACATCTCCATCAATAGAAAGGAAAGGAGAGCTCCGTTTGAGATGGTTGGTAGACAAAAAAATGTGATTGTGGTCAGAGAAATGCTCTCCCTGGATGGATAACAGCTACGTACTCACAGGCTGGGAACATTGCTGGATGATATAGGGTTAAGAAAATGTAAATTAATATTTAATTACTTTATCCAAAGCGGAAGAGCTTGGACAGGAGGGAGTC